CTGAACGCAGCAGATGAGGTCTCTTGTGTTCCTTATATATAATTTAGATTGTAATATATACAGCTAATTATAAGTGACGAATTTCAAACGGATTATTATGGTGTTTTGGTCGTCAGAAAATATTGGTGCCGGAGAGATTAGCTCAGAAGCAGGTGAAAACATCATTTAAATCACGCGCGCCGGTGACCTTTGGATTAAATTTTGTGAATATATATATATATACAGATAGACAGATATTTAGATAGATTATTCTAAACAGAGGAATATTTTCCACAAATTTCTCTCCCGAGGCAAGGAATTCTCTCATTCTCTCTCTCTCTCTCTCTCTCTCTCTCTCTCTCTCTCTCTCTCTCTCTCTCTCTCTCTCTCTCTCTCTCTCTCTCCCGAGATAAGGAATATGTATATCTTTCGAGGCAGGGAATACATCTCTCTCTCAGGGAAACAAAAGGGGGAGGGAGACCTTTGACAAGCCGCAGGCTTCTCGTCTTCGTCGAGCCTACTGGAGAGATGGTGGCCATCATTAGTCACGTAAAATCTATCCAATAATGTGTTTTATATTTACTGAGAATCTTATTGATAATAGTCAGGCTAAGTGCCAGGACCCAGAGTGTCATAGTGCCATGACCCAGAGTGTCATAGTGCCACGACCCAGAGTGTCATAGTGCCACGACCCAGAGTGTCTTAGTGCCACGACCCAGAGTGTCTTAGTGCCACGACCTAGAGTGTCTTAGTGCCATGACCCAGAGTGTCTTAGTGCCACGACCCAGAGTGTCTTAGTGCCACGACCCAGAGTGTCTTAGTGCCACGACCCAGAGTGTCTTAGTGCCACGACCCAGAGTGTCTTAGTGCCACGACCCAGAGTGTCTTAGTGCCACGACCCAGAGTGTCTTAGTGCCACGACCTAGAGTGTCTTAGTGCCACGACCCAGAGTGTCTTAGTGCCACGACCCAGAGTGTCTTAGTGCCACGACCCAGAGTGTCTTAGTGCCACGACCCAGAGTGTCTTAGTGCCACGACCTAGAGTGTCTTAGTGCCACGACCCAGAGTGTCTTAGTGCCACGACCCAGAGTGTCTTAGTGCCACGACCCAGAGTGTCTTAGTGCCACGACCCAGAGTGTCTTAGTGCCACGACCCAGAGTGTCTTAGTGCCACGACCCAGAGTGTCTTAGTGCCACGACCCAGAGTGTCTTAGTGCCACGACCCAGAGTGTCTTAGTGCCACGACCCAGAGTGTCTTAGTGCCACGACCCAGAGTGTCTTAGTGCCACGACCCAGAGTGTCTTAGTGCCACGACCCAGAGTGTCTTAGTGCCACGACCCAGAGTGTCTTAGTGCCACGACCCAGAGTGTCTTAGTGCCACGACCCAGAGTGTCTTAGTGCCACGACCCAGAGTGTCTTAGTGCCACGACCCAGAGTGTTTTAGTGCCACGACCCAGAGTGTCTTAGTGCCACGACCCAGAGTGTCTTAGTGCCACGACCCAGAGTGTCTTAGTGCCACGACCCAGAGTGTCTTAGTGCCACGACCCAGAGTGTCTTAGTGCCACGACCCAGAGTGTCTTAGTGCCACGACCCAGAGTGTCTTAGTGCCACGACCCAGAGTGTCTTAGTGCCACGACCCAGAGTGTCTTAGTGCCACGACCCAGAGTGTTTTAGTGCCACGACCCAGAGTGTCTTAGTGCCACGACCCAGAGTGTCTTAGTGCCACGACCCAGAGTGTCTTAGTGCCACGACCCAGAGTGTCTTAGTGCCACGACCCAGAGTGTCTTAGTGCCACGACCCAGAGCGTCTTAGTGCCACGACCCAGAGTGTCTTAGTGCCACGACCCAGAGTGTCTTAGTGCCACGACCCAGAGTGTCTTAGTGCCACGACCTAGAGTGTCTTAGTGCCACGACCCAGAGTGTCTTAGTGCCACGACCTAGAGTGTCTTAGTGCCACGATCCAGAGTGTCTTAGTGCCACGACCCAGAGTGTCTTAGTGCCACGACCCAGAGTGTCTTAGTGCCACGACCCAGAGCGTCTTAGTGCCACGACCCAGAGCGTCTTAGTGCCACGACCCAGAGTGTCTTAGTGCCACGACCCAGAGTGTCTTAGTGCCACGACCCAGAGTGTCTTAGTGCCACGACCCAGAGTGTCTTAGTGCCACGACCCAGAGTGTCTTAGTGCCACGACCGAGAGTGTCTTAGTGCCACGACCCAGAGTGTCTTAGTGCCACGACCCAGAGTGTCTTAGTGCCACGACCCAGAGTGTCTTAGTGCCACGACCCAGAGTGTCTTAGTGCCACGACCTAGAGTGTCTTAGTGCCACGACCCAGAGTGTCTTAATGCCACGACCCAGAGTGTCTTAGTGCCACGATCCAGAGTGCCTTGGTCGCATGAAGCATGGGGGGGGGCGGTCCTCATCTACAGTACCCAAACATGGCAACGTAGAGCGACAAAAATGCTCTGGGAACTAAGTCGCCTCCCATACCAGCAAGGGTTGAGGGCCACGACGCTCCCATACCAGCAAGGGTTGAGGGCCACGGCGCTCCCATACCAGCAAGGGTTGAGGGCCACGGCGCTCCCATACCAGCAAGGGTTGAGGGCCACGGCGCTCCCATACCAGCAAGGGTTGAGGGCCACGGCGCTCCCATACCAGCAAGGGTTGAGGGCCACGACGCTCCCATACCAGCAAGGGTTGAGGGCCACGGCGCTCCCATACCAGCAAGGGTTGAGGGCCACGGCGCTCCCATACCAGCAAGGGTTGAGGGCCACGACGCTCCCATACCAGCAAGGGTTGAGGGCCACGACGCTCCCATACCAGCAAGGGTTGAGGGCCACGGCGCTCCCATACCAGCAAGGGTTGAGGGCCACGGCGCTCCCATACCAGCAAGGGTTGAGGGCCACGACGCTCCCATACCAGCAAGGGTTGAGGGCCACGACGCTCCCATACCAGCAAGGGTTGAGGGCCACTAACAAACCAGACAAGACAAGGCTGATCTCATCGAGACCTTTAACATAGTGAACACGTTGGAGGATATTAATCCAGACCACTTCGTTATTAGGTCAGATGTAACACCAACAAGGAGCAACAGCGTCAAGCTCAACAAGCCACAGTGTAGGACTGAGAGCAGGAGATGCTGTCTCACCCCACGGGGTTATAAACCCATGGAACCGCCTACCCGCTGAAGCCGTCAATGGCAAGACATTACTGCTGTTCAAAATACAATTTAAAAAATAAAATACAAAATACAATAAAAAATCAGGAAAAATGAGGTGATGAGGACGTTTCACAAACCGCCGGCTTCCTGTCTCCGTCGAGGCCACTGGATAGATAACAGCCCCTCAGATAAATTTCGTTAAATACAATCTTGCTAAGCTTCTTACAGGTTTAATGTATATATGAGAAACCTGAAACAGATTCACCCCGGAGCATGTATATAGGAGGTCAGGCATCAAAAGGCGGAGCAAGAGGACCAGTCCTGCAGAATATGACCTCCAGCCACACTAACCTGGCATCCCGGATTCGATCCAATGGCGAGACTGAAATAGTTTGACATGAATCATGTCAACCGATGCCTCTGTTCACCCAGCAGGAAATAGATATCCAGGAGTTAGGCCTCCGTTGTGGGGTGCGTCGTAGGCAAGTCATTAGTTTTTGACGATAGGGTGGAGAGGGGGAGCTCGTGGCCCGTACAGCACCCCATCTTGGACGACAGGGTGGAGAGGGGGAGCTCGTGGCCCGTACAGCACCCCATCTTGGACGACAGGGTGGAGAGGGGGAGCTCGTGGCCCGTACAGCACCCCATCTTGGACGACAGGGTGGAGAGGGGGAGCTCGTGGTCCGTACAGCACCCCATCTTGGACGACAGGGTGGAGAGGGGGAGCTCGTGGCCCGTACAGCACCCCATCTTGGACGACAGGGTGGAGAGGGGGAGCTCGTGGCCCGTACAGCACCCCATCTTGGACGACAGGGTGGAGAGGGGGAGCTCGTGGCCCGTACAGCACCCCATCTTGGACGACAGGGTGGAGAGGGGGAGCTCGTGGCCCGTACAGCACCCCATCTTGGACGATAGGAACTCTTATAATATAATGCTACAGTGGTGTGCGTGTACACACAGCGGTACACACAGCGGTACACACAGCGGTACACACAGCGGTACACACAGCGGTACACACAGCGGTACACACAGCGGTACACACAGCGGTACACACAGCGGTACACACAGCGGTACACACAGCGGTACACACAGCGGTACACACAGCGGTACACACAGCGGTACACACAGCGGTACACACAACGGTACACACAGCGGTACACACAACGTAACTGCTGAAAACCACTGTAATAAAACCTTTAGAATCAACTTTCATTAGGGACAGCGTTAGCAAGTTACTGTAGTCTAAGAAGAACTCAAGTTGATCACACACACACACACACACACACACACACACACACACACTCACACACACACACACACACACACACACACACACACACACACACACACACACACACACACACACACACACACACACACACACACACACACTCTGCCACTACACTTGCCAGCCACTCCTCTCTCCATGACCACCTCAATGCACCACTAAAATAAACGGAAAAAAGGTAAGTGTAAATGAGATATATGCTAACTACTGACAGGTGTGACTGACTGCATGAAGTGCAACACCAATGTTTGAGCAACACGGTGACTGTTGCAGGCGTGCTGGCAACACCAGCAACACAGCGGAGAGAAACTGTATAAGAGAGAGTGAGTGAGAGTGACACAGAGAGATTGAGAAACAAAGAAAGTGAGATAGAGGGAGGTAGGTAATGAAGCAAGGAAATAAACTGAAGCATAATAATGTTAGGTAAATGTCAATGTGATGATAGGGAGATAGAGAGACACACATGCATAATAGATAAAAGACCAAACAAACTCTAATAAAATGCTAATATTGACCAATGTGATAAAGCAGTGATTACTGCTAACAATAGCATTAATAACGCCCCGTGCCCCTGGGCAGAGTAGAGACGGTGGTGGAGGCGTGGTGAGCACCTTGCTCCTGACGGCCCGCCCTGAACACCACCACAAGACCCTGCTGTGTAAAGCCTTCAGCCCCAACCTGCCCAGGGCCGCCCTCCTCGACCAGGTCACCCTCCATGTTCACTGTGAGTACCTCCACCACCAGGTCAGATTATTATATATATATATATATATATATATATATATATATATATATATATATATATATATATATATATATATATATATATATATATAGGAAGGGAGTACCACCTCTGGCTGGAAGAAGGGGACCGTATGCCTCGGAGGAAACCACACATAACGCATTAGAGGGAATCTTTAGGTCTCCTCCAATACAATTTCTGTGTGCGTCTCTCCAACCACCACCTTCCTTTTGTTTTTGTTTTTTTGTGCTTTATTATATATTTAATGGTTACAAGATATACATTGGTTGATACAAAATGTGCTTTAAAGGTTATGGATCTCTTGAAGCTCCTCCGCTTCCGGGCAGGAACCGAGGACGCAGCAGCCGTTTCCCCTTTGGAACGCCACACTGAGGCGCTGAAATAAAAAACTGGCAGCCCTTGGGTCTTTGGTGACGTCAATGAGTCTGGAGCCCAATTCCTTGAGAAATCCCAAGGCACTCCTACCCTAGGGGCCATGCATCTCAGACGCTATGGGAACAAAGGTGTATTGACCTTCCAGTCGCCTGTACTTGAGTGACTTTGCTATCTCCCTGTGGTTGGCCGCCCCACCTGCTTGATCAGCACCGAAGTGTACATAGGTGTCAGCCAGGGTGGATACACATGTGTAGTCCCACACCAACTGTTTGCCCCTTTTCCAGGGGTATATAGTGATGCCATCAGGGCGAAGTGTTGGGTCACATCTGGGTTTTGGTTCCCTAGGATGCGAGGTTCTCTCTTTGCTGGGCACCTAGCTGAGACGAGACTTCTCTTGATGATGTCATTGACCTCGTTGTGTCTTGCATGCCAGCCCTTTGTGCCTCCTCAGTGCAACCCATGCAGTCCATATTGGTCTGCTTCCACCCTGTTGCAAATACACTTGTATTCAATGTGAATTGGGGCACCAAGGCGGAAAGCCACTGCTACTCGACGGGATTCTGAATCTAGACGCGTGCCCATTGCTGACATGGGTACTGCCAGGAGGAAGTCTCCTGCATGGGGAGACAAGCAGTGCTCTGAGGCGGGCTTTCTCCTAATCTGATGTTGCGGCTCTGAGCATGACATCGCCTATTTTTTCCACTAGTGGGTTGTCCCAGCTGGACTGTTTATGTTTTTTTGTTGGCTCTATGATGGGTGCAGGGGCTGCAAGAGCATCCCACTAATTTGAACATTCAGTGAAAGCAGGATCGTGTATTCCTGCTGAATCACTCAGGGGTTCAGGTAGGATATCTCTTACGAGGTCGTGCGACGCATGGGAGGAGGAAAGAAAGGCTGGTACAGCAATCTGGGAGGCTGTGCGGACACCAAGGCCCCCGAGTCTTACAGGGAGGGTTGCTTGCTCCCACTGAGAGTCGTCCAATGGAAGGTTTAGGACTTTCACCAGCATGGACCTCAGAAAGGTGTCATACACATTTAATTTAGGTTTGTTGTAGGATGGAGAACATCTCAGTTAGTAGGTCAACTTAAGAAGAGATAGGCATCTTGTGTGGAGGAAGAGCCAGAGCATCATGGGCATCAGTCTTGTTAATCCTGTCTAACATTCTTCTTAGATCATTGATTTTTGTCTCCAGGACATCCTCCATAGCTTACGTGGGCCAATGGGGGCACCCAAGAGGATGCAGTCAGGTGGCTCGACAACAATGTCTGGAAGAACATTTTTTATTTGGCCAATGATGTCGGGGTTGCGGGAGACTATTTCGCAGCATTTGGATGCATTGAGAATGAGGTCCAAGGCTGCTCCTTGCTCCTGGATTTTTCCTTATATCCTGCAAAATGGTATCTGGGGTTCCGGCGAGAGTGCCATCATCCAGGTACCAGATGTTTAGCTCGCTTGTCAGGCTATCAGTGACCTCTTTGATGGCTAAGCAGAAAAGGAGGGGGGCTAAGGGATCACCTTGTTGGACACCTTCACAGGAGTCTATTTCATGCTCCTCAAAAAGAAGCTTAGAGTCCCCACTGTAGCACGATCGTATGGATGGGTAAAGGGGAAGGAAATGGTTGTGTACAGCCCTGAGGACAGCGTCTCCTCTGACTTGAGTGAAGGCATTTTTAAAGTCAAGCTTTACTAATGCCTTCTGGTCCGAGTGATCAGCAATATACGGCCGCGCTACATGTGCTGCAGCTTCACAGCCTAGGGGGATCCCAAACCAGAGCTGATTAGGTTTCAGCAAGGTGGCTTCCTGACTGATAGATCTCACTGCAGCCTTAGCTTCGAGGCGCCGAAGGGTGTTGCCAACAGCAGTGGGCCTGATTCCCCTATCCTTCTTCTTTAGAGCACAGAGTGGTGCTCCATAAAAGAAAGAGAGGCTCTATGTCCTCAGAGACGCTGCCAGCCAAACACATGTTGAAGAGTCTGGTAAGTTTCACTAGAAGGTCCTTTGCGGCATCTCCAAGCACCAACTTCAACATATGTTTGGTGTGCTGGGATTTCAGGCCTGTAAAGCCCCCTGCTGAACCTGTTGGGAAAGACATGGCTGCTTTGTACACCTCAGATTACCTTTACAAACAGAGCACTTCCCCATATGAGAGAATCGAACCATGGGGCCAGCAGGTGCCAGGCCTCTGGTGTCGTTGGAGAAGGGGATTACGTGGTGGAAAACCCACCCTAATTCCCTTCCTTTTAACGATCTGAGGGTAGTCTAGTGGTTAATGCTCTGGCCTGGCACCTGCTGGCCCATGGTTCGATTCTCTCATATGGGGAAGTGTTCTGATATATATATATTTATATATATATATATATATATATATATATATATATATATATATATATATATATATATATATATATATATATATATATATATATATATATATATATATATTGGTAGCAGTCTTTCTTGTAAACATATGTTGCTGAATATGATCGAAAGGGTAATGTTAATGATTCTAACACGAATCTTTTCAATATTTTGTATAGTTTTCCTCACTGTCGTGGGAAGTTGAAAAATGCACTCTCGAAAGTCAATTTTCACTCTTTATATTTTGGTCTGATGCCTAGAGATGCGTTTAGCAAGGTTACTCCTTACATTCTCAAAGGCATGTTGTATAGAGACAGTGAGAGAGCCGCCTGACAACGAGAAAGACAAACGAAGAATGTGTTTCAATAAAATGTCCCATGTCTCAGCTAACGTATATACATTTACTCCTCATAGATGTCCAATATTGTTCTCAAACTCTGCAGTTGTTCCTGTGGCGCGGGTGACTGTCAAGGGGAAGGAAGGTGGCAATGTCACCGTCCGCCAAGGCGACTCTGTCACCTTCACCTGTCACCTAAGAGCCAACCCACCCGTCTACAACGTCACCTGGTTCCATAACGTAAGTCCAGAAGGTTCTACGACCGTTCTTGTATTCATGACTGCTTATAAGCCTCTGGGGCAACCTCCTCCTGGAATCCAAGACTGGAATGTCGATGTAAATATGTTAAAAGAATTTATAAAGCACTTTGTTCCGTAAACAAAATTGTATAGTTTTTAAGATAGGTTTTTCTATAAGGAAAGTGTTGTGGAATCTTAGGTACGGGAAGTTTATGGTGATGTGAGAGCTCTATGCCGGTATGACAGTATGACAGTATGACAGTATGACAGTATGACAGTATGGTAGTATGACTATGACAGTATGACAGTATCATAGTATGGGTCAGGGAGAGGATACCAGGACACGGAGCTGAAATGTTAGAACAAGGAGCTGAGGTATGAGGACAAGGAGCTGGAGCAGTCTGTTGGACTACCCGGCAAGATGAAGCAAACCTGGAACAGACTACTGGACTACACGACATGATGAAGCAAACCTGGAACAGTCTACTGGACTACACGACATGATGAAGCAAACCTGGAATAGTCTACTGGACTACTCGACATGATGAAGCAAACCTGGAACAGTCTACTGGACTACACGACATGATGAAGCAAACCTGGAACAGTCTACTGGACTACACGACATGATGAAGCAAACCTGGAACAGTCTACTGGACTACACGACATGATGAAGCAAACCTGGAACAGTCTACTGGACTACACGACATGATGAAGCAAACCTGGAGCAGTTTACTGGACTACACGACATGATGAAGCAAACCTGGAACAGTCTACTGGACTACACGACATGATGAAGCAAACCTGGAACAGTTTACTGGACTACACAACATGATGAAGCAAACCTGGAACAGTCTACTGGACTACACGACATGATGAAGCAAACCTGGAACAGTTTACTAGACTACACAACATGATGAAGCAAACCTGGAACAGTCTACTGGACTACACAACATGATGAAGCAGGACTGGAACAACCTTCGAGCTGCCTGGCACAATAAAACAGGCATGGAAATCCATTGAGCAACTAATTCAACATATAAAGTACTTTGTCGCTCACAAAGATCCAGGTTCCACAATACACACAATACACTCCGTGTATCCTGCACAGAACTCTTGTCTTAAAAACCGAAGCGGCGTTAATCGATTATTTAAACTCTTTGTTCCCATCTCATTAACGTCTGACCTTAGGAAAGATCAGAGAAGAAAGAAAAGGTTGAGATAGATTTCCAGCCAATTAGTCTGTTGGAAAGATTGTGGCTTACCGATCTACATTCCAGTTCCTCCTTTTGTGGGGCTCCAGTCTTTCTTCTGTGGGGCTCCAGTTTTGCTTCTGTGGGGCTCCAGTCATGCTTGTGTGGGGCTCCAGTCTTGCTTCTGTGGGGCTCCAGTCTTGCTTGTGTGGGGTTCCAGTCTTGCTTCTGTGGGGCTCCAGTCTTGCTTCTGTGGGGCTCCAGTTTTGCTTGTGTGAGCCTCCAGTCTTGCTTCTGTGGGGCTCCAGTTTTGCTTCTGTGGGGCTCCAGTCATGCTTGTGTGGGGCTCCAGTCTTGCTTGTGTGGGGCTCCAGTCTTGCTTCTGTGGGGCTCCAGTCTTGCTTGTGTGGGGCTCCAGTCTTGTTTGTGTGGGGCTCCAGTCTTGCTTGTGTGGGGCTCCAGTCTTGTTTGTGTGGGGCTCCAGTCTTGCTTGTGTGGGGCTCCAGTCTTGTTTGTGTGGGGCTCCAGTCTTGCTTGTGTGGGGCTCCAGTCTTACTTGTGTGGGGCTCCAGTCTTGCTTGTGTGGGGCTCCAGTCTTGCTTGTGTGGGGCTCCAGTCTTGCTTGTGTGGGGTTCCAGTCTTGCTTGTATGGGGCTCCAGTCTTGTTTGTGTGGGGCTCCAGTCTTGCTTGTGTGGGGCTCCAGTCTTGCTTGTGTGGGGCTCCAGTCTTGCTTGTGTGGGGCTCCAGTCTTGCTTGTGTGGGGCTCCAGTCTTGTTTGTGTGGGGCTCCAGTCTTGCTTGTGTGGGGCTCCAGTCTTGCTTGTGTGGGGCTCCAGTCTTGTTTGTGTGGGGCTCCAGTCTTGCTTGTGTGGGGCTCCAGTCTTGCTTGTGTGGGGCTCCAGTCTTGTTTGTGTGGGGCTCCAGTCTTGCTTGTGTGGGGCTCCAGTCTTGCTTGTGTGGGGCTCCAGTCTTGCTTGTGTGGAGCTCCAGTCTTGCTTGTGTGGGCCTCCAGTCTTGCTTCTGTGGACCTTCGCTGAGCTATACAATCTCTTTCTTTCTACTTTGCTTCATTATAAAAATAATTATTTGGATAACTTTTATATTAATAAATATTTGCTTGATATCTATTTCTTTTTTCAGCATCAGTCTATCTCTATCACCATCTTTCTCCCTTGCAGCCCTATCGTTATTACTGTGTTGGTCTTGTGTCCGCGCTCCCTCCCTCTCCCCCTCTCCTTTCTTCCCCTTCTTTCATACAGCGAGAAATCATTACCTCAGTAATGATACGAGTCGTCTAACCATTCTTCTCAAAGGGGCTCATTTCTCATCTCTGATTAAGTCTTTCTTGACTTAGGCCAGCTTGATTTAAGCCAACTTCACTTCGATCAGCTTGATCTAGCCCAGCTTGACATAGGACAGCTTAACTAACACCTGCTTGACTGAGAGCTGCCTATTATACTTACAGCCTTAGGTGAGTTGAAAATGGTGTTTTTCAGGCAATATTTAAAGAAAAATATGAAAGGAGATTTTCTCTTATACACATGTCATTAAACACAGCACCATTGTGACTATTAATTATTTTCTTTTGGATGTTTTCCATTCTACGCCAATATCATCTATCATCTGGAGCGTGAAGATACACTAGGTCACTTTATCTTTCCATTTTATCGTTCGATGTTTCGTCAGCATTGTAACATCTTCAGGAGTACACTGTTGAACTGACACAGCTATACTGAGCTTACAGGCCGTGTTGGTTTAGATTCAGCTACTCGGATCAAAAAAATCCAAGTAGCACGGGCTATGGTGAGCCCTCAGTAGACTTACTTGGCACAGGAGCGGTACTGAAATTTGTGCTTACAAGTTTGTTGTTGTTGTTGTTTAATATTCGCTACTTGGAACAAAAAGTTCCAAGTAGCACGGGCTATGGTGAGCCCGTTGTGGACTTACCTGGCACAGGAGTGGGGGGGCTGCTTACAAGGAAAATTCTAGACATTTATAAGTGTGGGGCCACCACTCTACGTTTCACCTGACCCCATTAATCGTAGGGAGCGGCGAAGGATAGGGTGGGGTGATGTTGCCTGACTCCGGCTTCTAGCTGTCCACCAGGTCTTACATCTTCCCTCTGAGTCAATGGAGGACCATCGAACAGCTGTATGCTCGAAGTCGAATTCATCTGAACGTTGATTACTGGTGTCAGATTCTGAATGAACACAGCCTCAAGTACACGAAACCTCCCACGATCGTCAGAGCGTGTGATTACGGCCGTATCTCTCACTATGTCTTAATGATTCAGGATGGTCAAATGAACAAATCTACAAGGGCCATGACGAGGGTTCGAACCTACGTCCGAGAGGATCCCAGACGCTGCCTTAATCGACTGAGCTACGACATGGTAAAATAATTGCAACCGGGAAATCATCCTGATTTACCAACAGTCTCTCCGAGACACAAACCAGGGTTTTTACGCAATTCCCCCATGCACCCGGGCTATGTAAATAAGATGGTCTTCCTCTTCGCCCTTACTTCATTACACACAGAAATCACAATAGCGTGATGCATCATGCATCACGCTATTGTGATTTCTGTGTGTGTGATTCAGGATGGTGTTGTGGTATTGAGAATGATGTTGCTTAATACCTCCGTCTTGCTGATGAAGTGTAAGACGTCTAATCAATGTATTAGTGGAATATCCAATATAGCATATATTTCGGAGCACAGTCTTCAGACCTGTGTTTGTATTGATACACAACATTAGTACACCTCAGCGTGTCAGAGGCGGCAGAGATGTTACTTCTCATAATGAGGGAAGAAGTACGAGGGTTATTATAATAAATGACAGGACTCATGGAATGTTATAATATAGGACTCATCCTTGCTTTTTGACTGTAAGGTTTGCAGTTCCTTTCAATTATGTCTCATATTACCTTCTCATCCTTCTTGAATGCCTGAGTGAATGTATTTTTATAATACACCACAATAGCTTCTCTGGGGGCAGATTATCCACTCTTGGGGCCTGATTATACTCATACATATATACATCGTTCATACATTTTCCTGCATCAGTTGGTTTACGGTAGACAGCTGTGATAAATTACGATGTAATTCCCCAATTACGATGGTTTTGTCATGTTGCATTTGTTGATTTATATAATACAGGTATACTTAGGTTATACGTTGTGTGACTTAGAGTATACCGTGTGTGACGTCTGGTATGCTCTGCCACAGGGACGAGCGGTGCGTGGAGGGACAGTGGCGGGCCTGGAGGTGGACAACACCACAGTCACCCTGAGGAAGGTCACGCCCGACCTGCGGGGCCTCTTCACCTGCCTCGCCAGCAACGCTGAGGGCGACGGTCACAGTAACGCTCTCAACCTTAACGTCCAGTGTGAGTACACGCTCTTCTCCTCCTGGGAGAGTACACGCTCATCTCCTCCTGGGAGAGTACACGCTCCTCTCCTCCTGGGAGAGTACACGCTCCTCTCCTCCTGGGAGAGTACACGCTCCTCTCCTCCTGGGAGAGTACACGCTCTTCTCCTCCTGGGAGAGTACACGCTCCTCTCCTCCTGGGAGAGTACACGCTCTTCTCCTCCTGTGAGAGTACACGCTCTTCTCCTGTGAGAGTACACGCTCCTCTCCTCCTGGGAGAGTACACGACCCTCTCTTCCTTGGAGAGTAGATGCTCTCACAGGGCATCTAGAGAGCGTAGATGAGTAGACAATGTCTACCTCTCAGAAAAACTAATTTGGAGCCTCGTAGAATTAATAGTGATGAAAGTGTTGGTTGTGGTGAGAGTTGTGGTGGTGAGAATGGTGGTGGTGGTGAGAGTGGTGGTGAAAGTGGTGGTGGTGGTGAGAGTGGTGGTGGTGGTGGTGGTGAGAGTGCTGGTGATGGTGGTGGTGGTGAGAGTGGTGGTGGTGGTGATGAGAGTGGTGGTGGTGGTGGTGAGAGTTGTGGTGGTGAGATTGGTGGTGGTGATGAGATTGGTGGTGGTGAGAGTGTTGGTGTTGGTGGTGGTGAGAGGGGTGGTGGTGAGATTGGTGGTGGTGGTGGTGTTGGTGGTGGTGAGAGTGGTGGTGGTGGTGGTAGTGGTGGTGGTGGTGGTGAGAGTTGTGGTGGTGAGATTGGTGGTGGTGGTGATGAGATTGGTGGTGGTGGTGGTGGTGAGAGTGTTGGTGTTGGTGGTGGTGAGAGTGGTGGTGGTGGTGAGATTGGTGGTGGTGGTGGTGGTGGTGGTGGTGGTGGTGGTGGTGAGAGTGGTGGTGGTGGTGGTAGTGGTGGTGGTGTTGGTGGTGGTGAGAGTGGTGGTGGTGGTGAGAGTGGTGGTGGTAGTGATGGCGGTGGTGGTGGTGGAGAGAGTGGTGGTGTTGGTGGTGGTGGTGGTAGTGAGATTGGTGGTGGTGGTGGTGAGAGTGGTGGTGGTGGTGGTGGTGGTGGTGAGAGTGGTGGTGGTGAGAGTGGTGGTGGTGAGAGTGGTGGTGATGGTGATGAGAATGGTGGTGGTGATGGTGATGAGAGTGGTGGTGGTGGTGAGAGTGGTGGTGGTAGTGGTGAGAGTGGTGGTGGTGGTGAGAGTGGTGGTGATGGTGATGAGAGTGGTGGTGGTAAGAGTGGTGGTGGTGGTGAGAGTGGTGGTGGTGGTGAGAGTGGTGGTGGTGAGAGTGGTGATGGTGGTGGTGGTGAGAGTGGTGGTGGTGGTGAGAGTGGTGGTGGTGGTGAGAGTGGTGGTGGTGAGAGTGGTGATGGTGGTGGTGGTGAGAGTGGTGGTGATGGTGATGAGAGTGGTGGTAGTGGTGGTGGTGAGAGTGGTGGTGGTGGTGAGAGTGGTGGTGGTGGTGAGAGTGGTGGTGATGGTGATGAGAGTGGTGGTGGTGGTGGTGGTGAGAGTGGTGGTGGTGGTGAGAGTGGTGGTGGTGGTGAGAGTGGTGGTGGTGGTGAGAGTGGTGGTGGTGAGACTGGTGGCGGTGGTGAGAGTGGTGGTGGTGGTGGTGAGAGTGGTGGTGGTGGTGGTGATGGTGGTGGTGAGAGTGGTGGTGATGGTGGTGGTGAGAGTGGTGGTGGTGGTGATGAGAGTGGTGGTGATGGTGGTGGTGGTGGTGAGAGTGGTGGTGGTGATGGTGAGAGCGGTGGTGGTGAGAGTGGTGGTGGTGATGAGAGTGGTAGTGATGAGAGTGGTGGTGGTGGTGGTGATGAGAGAGGTGGTGGTGGTGGTGGTGGTGGAGAGAGTGGCGGTGGTGGTGATGAGAGTGGTGGTGGTGGTGAGAGTGGCGGTGGTGGTGGTGATGAGAGTGGTGGTGGTGATGAGAGTGGTGGTGGTGGTGAGAGTGGTGGTGGTGGGGTGATGAGAGTGGTGGTGGTGTGGTGGTGGTGGTGGTGGTGGTGGTGATGAGGTGGTGGTGGTGGTGATGAGAGTGGTGTTGGTGTTTGTGGTGAGAGTGGTGTTGGTGGTGGTGGTGGTGGTGGTGGTGATGGTGATGAGAGTGGTGGTGGTGGTGGTGATGGTGATGAGAGTGGTGTTGGTGGTGAGAGTGGTGGTGGTGGTGGTGAGAGTGGTGGTGGTGGTGATGAGAGTGGTGTTGGTGGTGAGAGTGGTGGTGTTGGTGGTGGTGGTGGTGAGAGTGGTGGTGGTAGTGATGAGAGTGGTGGTGGTGGTGGTGGTGATGAGAGTGGTGTTGGTGGTGAGAGTGGTGGTGGTGGTGGTGGTGAGAGTGGTGGTGGTGGTGATGAGAGTGGTGTTGGTGGTGAGAGTGGTGGTGATGGTGATGAGAGTGGTGGTGGTGGTGAGAGTGGTGGTGGTAGTGATGAGAGTGGTGGTGGTGGTGAGAGTGGTGGTGGTGATGAGGGTGGTGGTGGTGGTGAGAGTGGTGGTGGTGGTGAGAGTGGTGGTGGTGATGGTGGTGGTGGTGATGGTGAGAGTGGTGGTGGTGGTGGTGATGAGAGTGGTGGTGGTGGTGAGAGTGGTGGTGGTGAGAGTGGTGGTGGTGATGGTGAGAGTGGTGGTGGTGGTAGTGATGAGAGTGGTGGTGGTGGTGAGAGTGGTGGTGGTGATGGTGGTGATGAGAGTGGTGGTGGTGGTGGTGGTGCTGAGGGTGGTGGTGGTGGTGGTGAGATTGGTGATGGTGGTGAGATTGGTGATGGTGGTGAGAGTGCTGGTGGTGGTGGTGGTGGTGAGAGTGGTGGTGGTGGTGATGAGAGTGGTGGTGGTGGTGAGAGTGGTGGTGGTGATGAGTGGTGGTGGTGGTGTATGATGAGAGTGTGGTGGTGGTGGTGAGAGTGGTGGTGGTGATGAGAGTGGTGGTGGTGGTGTTGATGAGAGTGGTGGTGGTGGTGTTGAGAGTGGTGGTGGTGATGAGTGGTGGTCGTGAGAGTGGTGGTGAGAGTGGTGGTGGTGGTGTTGATGAGAGTGGTGGTGGTGGTGGTGGTGGTGGTGGTGGTGGTGGTGAGAGTGGTAGTGGTGGTGGTAGTGAGAGTGGTGGTGGTGGTGGTGAGAGTGGTGGTGGAGGTAGTGGTGGTGGTGGAGAGAGTGGTGATATTGGTGGTGGTGAGATTGGTGGTGGTGGTGGTGAGAGTGGTGGTGGAGAGAGTGGTGATGGTGGTGGTGGTGAGAGTGGTGGTGGTGATGAGAGTGGTGGTGGTGGTGGTGATGAGAGTGGTGGTGAGAGTGGTGGTGGTGAGAGTGGTGGTGGTGATGAGAGTGGTGGTGAGAGTGGTGGTGGTGGTGGTTTCGAGAGTGGTGGTGAGAGTGGTGGTGGTGGTGGTTTCGAGAGTGGTGGTGAGAGTGGTGGTGGTGAGAGTGGTGGTGAAGGTGAATTGGAAGCTTGTAAGAGAATGCTAATGAGTTAATGAGATAATGAATAGTTTAAATAATATATATATTTTGCTGCTTGATGAAAATTTCAGTGCAATGATTTATGGTTCCAATGTATGTTTTAGGTGTGTGTGTGTGTGTGTGTGTATTCACCTAGTTGTATTCACCTAGTTGAGTTCACCTAGTAGTGTTTGCGGGGGTTGGGCTTTGCTCTTTCGGCCCGCCTCTCAACTGTCAATCAACTGTTTACTATCTATTTGGGTAATCCAACACCGATAACCTCCTATCACAATCCTGTATAAACACTCTTTGCGACTTCCTGCATGAAAATGCAAATGTAAACAAAGCTAAGCAAAGTGGGATCCTGAGACATTTCTCCAGTAATCCCCAAGTTACTCTAACTCTCGTCTCCTGAGAAGATAATCAAACAAATTGCCTAATTAAAGTACCCCCCCCTTTCTTAATCGTCAACACAGCTCCTAGGGCAGTAATATAACGTATACTTGAACATCAACACTGCCCAAACACACACAACAAAGATGTCATTAGCATATCCCATATGCTAATGACATTACTATGCAATCACTCAGTAATCACAATTACTGACTCACCACACAACACCTTAATTTCAGACACCAGGGTGTCAACCGACCACCCATAACCTTGGTCAGACAAATTACTGGACCTGCACTGAAAAAATCATGGAAATGGCACACACTACATGATAATAAAATCCTTCACAATACCCCTCGTGAATAAATCAAATATATATCACTAGAGAAAATTACACAGTATTTACAGACCTCAAGGTGTCCTCAGACAAACCCTAAATTACTCTGGCCCGCCTTCCTCTGACATAATATGGCTACATGGTCCTTGACATAAATCTTGACTCTGAACGATATATATAGAATCGTCAGATCAACATAACATTTATATGGGAAAATCTCCACATTGGCCGGTTTATATACTGGAGCCAGTCAACACACAATTTGTATTACATATCATGTAAATTGTGTTACTGTATATAACATACACACGTCCTACTACAGACACTCTGTGCCCACCCACAGACAGTTACTTTGACGTCAATACAGATGCCTCCTTCACGCTCGCTTCCCTCACCTAGGACCGGCGCTTTGGGACAAACACAGCTGGTACCTGATTTAACCTCAGCCCTGAGACACTGCAACTACATGAATCGAGTACTCACGTGACCGGTCTCCACATTCATCCTCATACACTCCCACCCCCCAAGGCTGCAGCACAAGATCACCCAACTTGCTCCCTCGTACATCGACCAGGTGTGGCCCCAGGGTGTGGTGCGAGGCGGTTTCGACGCTGTCCACAGGGTGAGGCGGCGCGGCCTCCCGTAGCCCTCAGGTGTACACAACCGGTGTGGACGATCCACACACCCGCACACACACCACCAGCGGGGCTAGCTCGTACACCGGGTGTGATGGATGGCGGGTGACAAAATATGAATGACACGGCAAGGGGGAATTTCAATGTCCAACATGGGCCCGTAATCTCCCCAAAATTACTTCTCGAGGGCTTCCACTGAACACTGGGAAGCCCTA